TGAAACCATTTGTAGATACAAGTACTACTTGATACCGAACGTTGAAATTGAAATTGGTGATAATAATAATAATGTATCTTTAAAAGATTTCGGATTAATTGTGCACCAAATGGACAATATCAGTCCAAAAGAATTTTGGAACAGTCTAGAAGCAAGTACATACAATTTGAAGAAAAACAGTTCAGATATAGCTAAAGCTCCGATATATATGTTTCATTCGATTTGGGGTTTTAAGCTCTCACATGCATAATATGCACTCCACAACAATGATATTTAGTACCAAATGTCAAATACATCCCAGAAATACCTCTGCCAAATTTTATTAAGATCGGTACAGATTTGGATATAGGTCCCACATATATCTCCAACAGATGCGCCAAATGGCTAATATCAGTCAAAATGACCTGAATTTGGGCACATCCGACCGAATTCAGTCTAGAAGCTTATACACCAAATTTGAAAATCGGTTCAGATATAGCTATAGCTCCCATATATATGTTTCATCCGATTTTGTATTTAAGTCCCTCATATTTGTAATATGCATTCGACTACAATGCTATTTGGTACAAGATATCTTATAGAGCTCAGAAATACTTTTGCCAAATTATATCGGGAACTACTAAGATTTGGATATCGTTCCCATATATATCAAAAAATAACGGCTAATATCAGACCAAATGGAGTGAATTTTGTATAAAACATTAAAATATCTCCGTCAAATTCAGTGAAAATAGATTCAGAATTGGATGAAACCAAACTATAACTGTTTGGTTTTAGAGGGCCAAATGTTGTTAGGTGGTATGATCTACTTCAAATAAATTCCTTTTTACTGTAGATCTACTAAATATGCCTAGTGGTGTAGGGTATCATATAGTCAGCCCCGCCCAACTTATGATGTTTCCTTACTGGTTTTATTTGATAATATGAATATTATTACAAAAATTGTTATCTAAAAGGAAATGTACCGTTATTGACTTCGTGTCACGGTTTTAGAGCGTTTTAGATTTGAAATCGGATGGAAACAACTACTTGTTCTACGTGACCGTGACAAAAATGTTTATGGAAGTTATATCTAAGTCCATCCCTATTTTAATCACTTTCAATAGTGTTCTTTGGTCACACAATTTATATTTTCAAAATTTCATCTTTGTCAAAGTCGAATGCAAGGACTGATGGACGAACGAACAAGCATAAATGGACTCCGAATGTTATTCTATGGCGATCATCATAGCCTATAACAAACAAATTTAGAAATAGTTTATATAAATTTATAAAAATGCGATTATGACATTATTTTTCTTGTCCTTGATAACGCAACAATAAACATTTTTAAGATTCCACTAAGAAACAGCCCTACAAAACAACACATCTAATGCATAATAAAAACAAATGATTAACATAATTTCTTCTCTTTTCGAATAATCATTATCGATCTGGAATCAATATTTTCCAACAACATTATCTCTAAACCAGTAAAGAAAGTCTTAAAGTCGGCGGGGCCGACTTTATGATACCCTACACCACTTTGCTAATTTAGTAGAGCTCCGCATAAAAATTAAAAGTTTTTATGGGAGAATTCAATCATACAAGCTATGATTATAATTATAATTTAAAGTTGAAAGGACTAAATATACCGAAGCATTTGTATCTTTTAAATTCGGACTTGTATTGCCCATTTGGTGCAATATTAATTTGAAATCAGATAAAGATATATATGGGAGCTATATTCAAATCGGAACCGATCTCTATAATATTTTACAAAGATATTTCTGAGCTGTACTTAATATATTTCCCTGAATATCGTTGTTACGGAGTGCATATTACGGCTGTGGGTAACAAATATAACAAATCGGATGAAATATAACAAATCGGGAGCTATAGCTATATCTGAACCGATCTTCACCAATTTTGACATACTAGCTTCTAGACTGAATTCGGTCCTAGGTGCCAAATTTCATCCCATTTGGACAAATGTTAGACGTTTGGTGCACAATAAGGTAAATCGGATGAAGATATATATGGGAGCTATATCCAAATCTGAACCGATCTCGATAAAATTTAGGAAAGGCATTTCTAGCTGTATTTGATATATTTCCCCAAAAAATCGTTGTAACAGAGTGCATATTACGGCTGCGAAGGACAAAAATAACAAATCGGATGAACAATATATATGGGAGCTATAGCTATATCTGAACCGATTTCGATGAAATTTGGCATACTTATTTTCAGGCCTAATTTGGTTGTATGTGCAAAATTTCATACTATTCGGGTTGATATTACACGTTTGGTGCACAATAAAAAGCAAATCGGACGAAGATATATGTGGGAGCTATATCTAAATTTTGACCGATTATCTCCAATTTCAATAGGGTTCGTCCTTGGGCCAAGCAAATGAATTGTGCAAAATTTCATCTGGATAGGGCAATAATTGCGAACTGTACTTTGTTTACAAAAATACATGGACAGACGGACGGACGGACAGACGGACGGACGGACGGACATGCATAAATCGACTCAGAATGTGATTCTATGCAGATCATCAAAAGGAACTATGGGTCTATCTCGTTTCCTTTTGCCTGTTACAAACAAATGCACAAAGACATAATACCCTGACCACCTTGTGTTGTAGGGTATAAAAAGTATGAGTATTTGACAAAGCAGATGTTCCTACTACGTAAAATACCTAATTCGCTCTTTCGGGAAGAATATAAATTGTACGCATAGAATGCGTCACATAGAATATATATTTTGCAATTTAATTCCTCTATATGATCTCCTGTATCTCCATTATTTTGCTATTTTGCCTTCCATCTATTTGTGATTTCCGTAATTTTGATATTTTTTACACAGAATTGTGGTCCATTTCACGAGCAAACTATTATCCGATGACCATCCAAAATGCTTAGCTTCAGGGCTGTCCTAAACTCTAATCTCATATAAAATTCCACGCAGAAAATGTTTAAGTTTTTGGTCAATTTTAAGCCCCAAATATTTTTGCTAACATCTTCCAAAACAATAGGCTTCTATACTGATCTTAACTCTACCGCATTGAAAAAAGCTAATGCGATTAAAATAAAAATATGACAAAATATAAAAGATATTTCTAAATAGTACAGAAAAATACTTACATGCAGATTTTATTCTTATCTGCCAAAAGTTCATTCTGAATTGTCATAATCGGTCCAGCCGTTCTTGATTTATAAGCGGTCTGAGGTTGGAATTAAAAAAAAAAACATGCAGATTTTATTCTTATCTGCCAAGAGTTCATTCTGAATTGTCATAATCGGTCCAGCCGTTCTTGATTTATAAGCGGTCTGAGGTTGGAATTAAAAATATTCGCGGTTCAATGGAAATGTTCGTTTTTTTACATAAAAGTTATAATCTTTTCCATTCGCTAAATATTATATGATGAAATTATTATAAATGAAATTGTTGATTTCTGCCCAGCCCTAAATTCAAGACCCATGTTAAATTTCGAGTTGATTGGTTTATAGTTCTGACTTTTAGAGCAACTGTAAAATCAAGAAAATTTTCTGTTCTTGGTCCATTTCAACCCATAAAGATTTTACGATCATCTCCTAGTCTTAGTTAACAAGGACAGTCCATCTGTGGTCCTACGTAGCTACGCTACGTGCTTGGTCACACATATAGACACATATATAACATCCTATGTGCAGGACCAATGTTTCGAGGTGTTACATAATTTTTGACCCAATTATACTTATAATATCTCCACCACATAGTGTTGTAATGTATACAAATGGAAGCTACCCTCGCAGGTGCAATTTTAGCTGCAAGAAGTTGTAGCTGATTTGGTTGGAAATTGTGGATGCTACTTTCAAAATACTTAAAATCGGGTTGTATGGGAATATGGAGGCTAAGCATTAATTTGGACCCATGTAGACCATTTTCAGCACAAAAAATCTTAAGAATTCTGTAAATGTCTATGACAAATGCCCGTCATTCCTCTTAAGTATTGTGACCACCATATTGCTTTTAAAAGACTCACAGACCCTGTTAATTCGACTTGTTGATAACGAATATGCATATTTTACAAATATTTCGAAGAGTTGCAAACGAAACGTAATTTTTTTAATAAAATTTATGTTTATTAGTGCATTTTATGTGGTGTGAAGTTTGTCATTCCGTTTAAAACTCATCGAAATAATAGTTTTAATGCGGCCTGGCCGAAATTAGCTGGTTTTTATTTTACTTGATAATTTTTGTTGTTTCGCTATGTCTTCCATCTTTCCGCTAGACTTTTTATTTATGCTAGTGTACAGAATAATGGAAGATCTCTAATTAATTATTTGTGACGTCGGTCTACAAATTTCAGTCATAAGTTCTTCATTTAGCATAACATTGTAGCGCATAAGTTTACTTAATTTTTTCGATTTATTACCTCAATAAATAATAAAAGAGAAATATAAAGATAAAAGTACAAAATGTAAATAAATTATTGAATCAAAAGATAAAAAATAAAAACATGGCATTGCAAGCTTTAGATAGTATGTAAGCGATTTAAACCACCCTTAACGACATAAACAACAAAGATTTGTATTGGCAAAGTAATGAACACTGTATTTTAACGTTCTAAACGGGCCCTGTGTAAATCAGATGGTAAAACATGACTTGAGTAAACCTTAAATGCCTGCAGCTGTTAATTAGCTTGATTGAAAATTGAAAATGGAAATTGAGCGTAAAGTGTAGATTTAGATGGTCTACATTGAAGATTTAATGGAATTATCATTTCAACATCGTAACCACAATTTGGTAATGGTTCTTCATCAGCATTATTTACTGAAATCCAAACAACGTCAACCAGTCAAGCTATTGTCAGCAACAACTTGTAAAACGTTGTTCAGCTCAAATTTTTTTCTTATCTAGAAAATCAAACATTGAACTCTAACAAAAAGAGACATCCCAAAACAATGGCTAGAAGATACGTAGTAAAATGCAACTTAATTATTTTTAGTGCAACATCATGTTCAGGCCACTTGAGAAATTATCGTCATATTCATATGACTATTAACTATAAATAATACCGCCACACAGTTCTAAGTCCATTAGTTCTGCAGTGCAGTTCCCATTGACGTGCCGATTATTTCTAAGTGGTTAAGTATGCAGCTGTGTAAGTTATGATCGATTTAAAAATTTACTTAAATAAAAGAATCTAAAATTTCCCTCGTTTTAGATTTGCAACTGATTTCATTGTGGATTGCTTACTTTCGCATGCATGAAGCATTTGTAGTTGCTGATTTATGTAGAAATCGCCAATTTGGATTTAAGGTTCAGGATCCTGAGGATTGTCACGGGTTTTATGTATGCCTTGGAGAAATTGGTCACTTCAGTTTGGACTGTGGCCGCGAGAATCGTTTCAATGAAACAATACAACGCTGTGTACCTGGGAAATGCCCCCCATGTCCTTGCGCAGTTCCAGACAGCATACCACAAATAACGGCTTTTATACCAAGTCTGTCATACCCTGTGGCTTATAACTCAATAATGTACGCTGCAAGTACAAATAGTCGGCCTTGTAATTCGGGATCTGACTCAAATGTTTTAGGGAATTCGCAATTAAACATTAGATTGCAGGGTTCGTCGAATACAGACTCAGACATTTCTTCCCAGAGTAAAGTCCTCAATTTTAATAACGGAAATTTAAACAAGAATCTTACATCTAAAAAACACGCTCCCACAACATCCGATGCTTCGTCAATTTGCATGAATAAAACCAATGGAAGTTTTGAAAGAGATCCCTACAATTGCAGTTTATATTATATTTGCTATGACAATGAGTCATATGCCCAAGAGTGTCCAGGAATATTCCAGTTTGATACCAAAGAAGGAAAGTGTAACATACCAGAATTAGTTAACTGTATGCAAGATGATGGGAGAGAAAGGACTTCGTCTGAAGAAATATCACAAAAAGCGACCAAAAGTATCGAGAATAGCACTACGATAGTGGCAACTAACACAGGTAATCCCGTGATAAAAGAAAAACAAAAATACTTCGAGAAATTCAAACTTTTCGAATATCTAGTCAAATCTATATTTTTCTATGGTACATATATTCGCATTAAACACTTTCCAAAATACTGATAATGGTTGTCTAATACCGCTTTACATTATTATTAATTATTAGGGACAGCATTTGAAAATTCTGCACAATCAAATGCAGTAGGGATATCAACTGCCATAAAAGAAACAAATGATGTATATTCCTCGACATTAGGAACTGAAACTACTCTTCCATCAGCAGTTTATGATAGTTCTGCAACTGCCGATACAAAGCAAAGTTATAAATCCGATGTATCGGAAAGCACAATAACAAGTGAAGTCCCAACCAGGACAATCAATACAGGGAGTGAAACAGAAACTACTGCAGAATCAAATACAGTAGAGATATCAACTCCCATAAAAGAAACAAATGATGTATATTCCTCGACATTAGGAACTGAAACTACTCTTCCATCAGCAGTTTATGATAGTTCTGCAACTGACGATACAAAGCAAAGTTATACATCTGATGTATCCGAAAGCACAATAACAAGTGAAGTCCCAACCGCGACAATCAATAGAGGAAGTGAAACAGAAACTACTGCTGCGACCACCTCTGGATTCCCAAAAACAAGTGAATTAAAAACGGAGACATTGCCAGCATATTTTTCTACAAACCCTACGGAGGTTCCATCGAGCACTGAAGTAGCACTCATTACATCAACCATTGATGTTGCAACTGGATCTGATTCAAATGGTTTAAGGAATTCGAAATTAAACGTTGGTTTACATTTGAATAAGAAACTCACATCGAAAAAGCTTACTCCCACAATGTCTTATGCTTCGTCGATTTGCGTGAATAAAACCAACGGAAGTTTTGAAAGAGATCCCTACAATTGCAGTTTATATTACATTTGCTATGATGACAATGCATATAGTGAAGAGTGTCCTGGAATATTACAGTTAGATACAAGAGATGATATGTGTAAAATGCCAGAATTAGTTAATTGTACGTCAGCTGACGGAAGAAGGACGACTACCTATGAAGCACTCCCTCAAACAACTGAAAAAGGTATAAGAGACGTTACTACTGCTGTGGCTGCTAATACAGGTGAGCCTTAAAAAAAAGATAATTCATATTTTTATGAGCATATTTCTACTCAGTGTATTTCAAATTCGGATGGAATCGGATGGAACCAGCATATGGAAGCTTTATCTCAATCGGTTTCCACTAAATCTGACGAAGCAATTTTTGTGTTGTATGTGATCAAATATCGTTGCTTTGGGGAATAACATTGCTTGTTATGACTTTGGGAAGACTTCAAATTAAAACAGAGAGAACTATATGTTTTGGAACCACAGTTCTTAAACATGATTTTATTTTAAATCGTTATAAAATGAATTTATTGTATTATTGGGTCCATTTCCATGAAATATTGGGTCCAGTTCCATTTTTGCCAATTCCAAAAGCTGCAAAAGACAGAATCCAGGCCCAATCGAATTTTAAACGATTTCTCTAAAAATGTGGTTATATTGCCAGAATATTCAATATAAGGATGTACCGTTATATGGCGGCTATATTGAAAAAATTGAACTTTACAGAGTGATTGCAACATACAGACAGTCGTCTTAGAATATTACGCTGATCAAAAATATTGGACGGATTATTGTCATGAGAAAGAAGTAGGTCCATGTTTTAAAATGAGTCCCATAACGCTTTGTCGGTCAAATTTGTTTGTTAAAATATGTTCGCATCTTCCTGGAATTGAAAGCTAAATGCCACTTTTGGACATGAGCGCTCGCCATTCCCATTTTTATTGGCAAATTTTCCCGGGATTAATAATAATTATTATTACTTTATTTATGGCAAGTTACCATTCCGAAATTGTATGAGTTGTTAAAGTCCATTTTTGTCCTACCGTAAAAAGACTACACATCATATAAATTTTCTAAAACAAAAAAAAAATCCGAAAAGAAACAAGTAAAAAGCTGTAAGTTCGACCGGGCCGAACTTTAAATACCCTCCACCATTTGGTACAAATTTGGCGATTTCCAAAAAATAAAATCCATTAAAAATTCTGTTAAAATCTTAAAAATACCGAACGCTTATACGACGACGTGGGCCTGCATAGGCAACTTTTGTCATAAGTTATTACAATATTTAAATGCGAAACTTGAAGAAAAATCTGTTTATAATGTAGCTAAAATCATCAAAATACCGATTAGGGGGAGGGGTACCGTTATATAGGGGCTATACGAAGACGTGAACCTGCACAGACAATTTTCTGTCTTGGGCTGTAGTATCCATTACGAACTTCAAATTCCAAATTTGAAATAATTCCGGCGAAAAATGTCGCTAAAATCATCAAAATACCGAATATCGGGAGGTACCGTTATATGGGGGCTATATGATAACTTGGACCTACATGGCCCATGGTTCGGAGGAAAGTCAGCAGTATCTCGTGTAACAATTTTCAAACTGATATCTTCATTATTTGGAAAATATACGGATTTTAGGTAAATCGAAATAATAGGCGTAAAAGTAGGTGTTCAATATTTTTTTCTTTACAAACCTAGCTCGGGGTACGACGAACGTTTTTACAAAAAATTATGCAAATCGGTATAGCCGTTTTCAACGGAGAGTACATTCCGTAGTATATTTTTTGACCAAAGTATAATGTGAGTACATATATATACATTCTCCTCTCCCTAAGTTAATACACAAACGTTGATTTTTTAATGTTTCAAGAAAACAAAGAGAATGTAGCTTCGACCTTGTAATTGGTGACTGCTCATGTTCACCTAGTGTGGTTGCTAGTCAAAACATTAATTGAAAATTAAACACCTTACATTTGTTGGAATGTGTTTTGTAATATTTCGTTAGTTTCAGGGACGACGTTAGACCGTTTTGCAGAGTCTTCTTCAACAGATGTATCAACTCCTATGGAAGAAACAACTAAAACATCATCTCTTGAATCTACTTTTACACCCACGGTCGTTGATTCTGCAACTGCTTCTGTTGGTATAACGGAAATGCACACACCTGTTATATCGGAACTTACAACAATATCTACGATCGCCGTCATACCAACAACGGAGCCTACAACACCTATCGTCCCAAGTGAAACGATTAGTACAGTTTCCATAACAGAAAATACCGTCTCAATCGTCTCGGAATTCTCAACAACAACTGAGTTACACACAGGTACATTGACAACGTATACCACAAACCCAATGGAGGTTCAAACCATCACTGAAATAATTGTTGTTACATCAACGACGGATGCTATAACAGAATCTACTCTCGACACCACATACCCAATGGAGGTTCAAACCACCACAGAAATAACTGTTGTTGCTTCAACGACGGATGCTACAACAGAATCTACTCTCTACACTCAATATTCTACTATCACTTCAGGGAGTTCAACAATTACTGTGACAACATATATTCCAATAATCTCAACCACCACTGCAACAGCAGATATTACATTAACAACTGGCTCAGGAACGGACTTTACTACCAAGACTTCAGCCAGCTCAACAGCAATTACATTAACATCCGATACTACAATGAAATCTACTACAAACACACAATCTTCAGCGATCACTTCAGGAAATCCAACAGAACATGCGACAACACATTTTCCAACCAATTTACCAACAGCCCAAATCACCACTGCAATAGCAACAATTACTTCCACATCTAGAACCATTCCAAACTCTACTCCAAACTCAGAAACTACTACTGTCACTTCAGAGAGTACACCAGAAGGTTCCACAACACACTCTCCAATCACCACTACAACGGCAGCTATAACTTCCACGTCTAAAACTACAACAAACTCTACTCCAGTCTCTCATACCACTACCACCACTTCAGATTGTCCAATGGAACCTTCCACAACATATTCTCCCACAAAGGAACCAGCACTTCAATCCACCACCACAACAGCGCTACCCATTACAACTCACCCTACCTCCAGCATTAAAACAACTACCACAGAAACTACGCAGGCTGCTACGACACGATCCGCACCGACTACTACGACACGAATTACATGTGCTATTGCGACGCGACCTACTACAGCCACTACAACCACTACAGCCACTACAACCACTGCAGCCACTGCACCCACTACAACACGATCTACACTGACTACTGCTGTTTCAGGTCTAATTTGTTTAAATAGACAAGATGGGGAGTTTATTAGAGATCCTAATGATTGCAACAAATTTTATACGTGTTTCAACAATTCGTCGTATCTACAAAAATGTCCTGCTGGATTATATTTTGACACTGTACTAAATGTGTGCAATTATCGTCACATGGTTAATTGTCCTATTTCACCAACTACGCCACCACATCAGACTGCCACACCACCCAAAGATACACCAAAACCAGACGATTGTTCCCAACTGCCAGGAGGCACTTTCGTTAGAGACCCGACGGATTGTAATATATACTACGTCTGTCTTAATGGGAAACCCATTAAATTACAATGTCCTCGTGGCCAATATTTCGATAATGAACATTTTGTATGTAATTTCAAGTATTACGTATCTAATTGCAATGTTTAATGTAAAACAGTCGAAATTGAAATAATATCTGCCTATATGAAATAAATTACATTCAGGTATTTCCCAATTTTCAAATTATGCAAACGATGTAGCGAAGTCCAAAACTGTAATTTCTGACATTACAGATGTCTTAAATTTCGAAAGGATAATCAAACAAGTAAAAAAGCTGTAAATTCGGCCGGGCCGAACTTTGAATACCCTCCACCATTTGGAACGAATTAGAAAATTTTCAAAAAAAAAAAATAAAATCCATTAAAAATTCTTTTAAAATCTTTAAAATATCTAATATAGGAAGGTGCCGATATGTGGGGATATACGATATTGTGGACCTATAAAGACAAATCTATGTCTGCGTGTAAAGTACTCACAAGGAACTCCTTGTGTGGATTTTCAAAATACCGAATATCGCGGGGTATCGTTATATGGGAGCTATACGTTATCGTTAACCTATATAGAGAATTCTCTGTCGGGGGGTAAAGTGCTCACAAAGAACCCCTTGTGTGCAAAGAACCCCTAGTGACCATTCCGTTGAAAAATATGACTAAAAACATCATAATACCGAATATCGGGGGTTCCGTTATATGAGGGCTATACGATATTGTGGACCTATATAGATAATTCTCTGCCGAGGTTTAAAGTACCCACAAGGAACTCCTTGTGTGGATTTTCAGACAATTCCGATGAAAAATGTGAGTAAAATCATAAAAATACCGAATATCGGGGGGTACCGTTATATGGGGGATATACGATATCGTGGACCTGTATTGATAATTCTCTCTCAGGGGGTGAAGTACTCACAAGGAACTACTTGTGTGGGTTTTAAGACAATTCCATTGACAAGTGTGGCTAACATCATCAAAATACCGAATATTGGGGGGGGTACAGTTGTAGAGGCGATATACGATATCGTGGACATATATAGACAATTCTTTTTGAGGCGGTAAAATGCCCATAAGGGACTCCTTTTGTGGAATTTCAGACAATTCCGATGAAAAATGTGGATAAAATCATCAAAATACCGAATATCGGGGGGTACAGTTATATGGGGGATATACGATATCGTAGACATATATAGACAATTCTTTTTGAGGGGGTAAAATGCCCACAAGGAACTACTTGTGTAGATTTAAAGACAATTCCATTGACAAATGTGGCTAACATCATCAAAATATGGAATATCGGGGGGTACAGTTATATGGGGGATATACGATATCGTGGACCTATATAGACAATTCTTTTTGAGGGGGTAAAATGTCCACAAAGAACCCCTTGTGTGGATATTCAGACAATTCCGTTGATAAATGTAGGTAAAATCATCAAAATACCGAATATCGGGGGTACCGTTATATGGGGGCTATACGATATCGTGGACCGATATAGCCTATCTTCGAATTTGATTTGCCTGCAGACAAAAGCTTCCTATCTTAATTCGTTTAGACTGTAGCATGATTACAACAGACGGACTGACGGACGGACAGGGCTAAATCGTCTTAGAATTTTACGCTGATCAAGAATATATATACTTTGTTGGGTCTAAAATGAGTTACAAACGGAATGACGAACTTAATATACCCTTCATACTTTTTTGGTGGAGGGTATAAAAATGAAAGCTTGTTGTATAGAAGGAATGCAACTTCTCAAATATTTTCTTGTTGCAAACTTAAAATTGATCTGTGTATATTATGTTGAATCACATGGTCTTAAAAATAGCCCCGTTTGCGTTGTGTTTTGCTTAAGCGACCGTTACAAAACTTCCATTTTGCGGGTTGGCCTAACCCAAAAGAATTCCTTTCGCATTTTATTAACATTTTTAGATATTGGCCTTTTCTAAACTTCGTGAATTTTGACAGGACTCACACACTGAGATCAGTTGCAAAAAATATGAAATATAAATGAATTCTTTTTGATGAAATGTTTTTTTTTTCGATTCAAACTCTGCAAATACGAATACGGAATCTTCCTCACAAATGGTAAAAAGTTGAAAAATTATGAATCGCAAAAAGGGAAAGGATTTCCAATTGCCTGCCTATTTTTCTCATCGAAACAAATGTATCAATCTAGGTTCAGGTACAAAAATGGACAATGTATAAAACAAGCAAGGAACATATTAGTGGTATATATTTCGCTATCGTCTATATCTTTGGGAATTTCATTGTTTGTAAGATCCTTTTGATGATCTAAATAGTACCAGTTTTCGGTTTATGAATGTCAGACGGACTGTCCACGTATTCTTGGGAATTTATTGTCCAATTCAGATACAATTTTGTACAGTTAATTTTTTGGTTCTATTGAAATTGGTGGTAATTGATTCAGATTTGGATGTTGCCTACCCTCTACCATATATAGTATGGAGGGTATATTAAGTATGTCATTCCGTTTGTAATTCATAGAAATAATCCTTTTAGACCGTACAAAGTATATATATTCTCGATTAGCGTAAAATTCTTAGACGATTTTAGACAGCCCGCCCGTCTGTCTGTTGTAATCGCGCTAGAGTCGAAACAAATTAAGATGGGACGATTTTACACAGATCAGTATTTTCCCTGCAGTCAAGTCAAGTTCGAAGATAGGCTATATCGCTTCACGATATCGTATAGCCCCATATAACGGCACCCTTAGATACTCGGTATTTTAGTGATGTTAGCCATATTTTTCAATGGATTTTTCTGAAATCGGATTTGTGAAGTTCTTAATAGGTACATATGACTCTGACCAAAATTGTGTAAATAGGCCTACGATTGCATCTATTCCCCATATAAAATTACCCCCAGTTATTCGGTATTGCCTTCCCCTAGCCTAAAACTTTCTATATAGGTCCATGTAGTACCTCATGTCTATATAATGGTACCCCGTCGATATACGCCAATTTTATGAATTTAGTCAGATATTTCAAAAGGTTTGTACATAATAATAGCAAACATATTGGTATTTTGATGGAATTCTTCACATATTCTACGGTAGTCTTAGTAATGAAAAATATGTAGAAAATATAAAATAAAAACATATTTCTCTAATGTATCAAAATTTCAACCCGCCGAACTTAACTGCTGTTTTACTTGTTATATTTAAGCCTGCTCAAAGTCATAGATATAACTTTCATACATTGGTTATATTAAACTTTAAATTTAAACCGCCCTCACGCATAATACGTAATCAATAATGTTCATAGTTGGCGTGATGGACTTCATATAAATTTCCAATCAATTTTATCTGCTATAACCTGACAATAGTGGATATTGTGATTTCTATTAGCAAACAGATACAATATTTCCTCCAAATAGTATGTTCCTTATAAAAAATAAGTAGGCAATGGTTATAGTCGTGCCGAGCCGACCATGTGATACCATACAACACCACAATATTTAGAAGCCCCCCTATGTACAAATCCATTTTGGAAGATTTCGCTTTTGAAATTATGTCACGGAGCACTGCCCAGATATTAGCCTTATCATTTTGACCAGGTACATTTGCCCAATATTTACGAACACCGTCGTGTTGTTAGTTGTTGTGGTCAATTTTTAAGCTAAATATAATGGTCATCCAAAATGCTAGAATTCTTGCCTATCCTTAACTCTCTTCTCAGGCGTGTCGATTGGCTTCAATTATGTGATCAGGAAGTTTTGTCTGTTTTGAATCCCTAAATATTTTGCCATCATCTCCCGAAGTAAGAGGCCACTCATCTATATGATTAGTTTGTCTACGATATATGCCTTTATTTGTCAACGAAATCAGCATAAAAAGCCTGAAATTCGCCTGTAAGTAACGCTGGTATTTTTTTTACACAAAAAGAGTGGTCCAGTCTACCCCTTGTCCTATATTCTAATTTCTTGCGAGATTTTGTGTCCTTTGGTTTCTATTTGTGACCTTTATAACGGCTGCAAAGTCAGGAACATATTTAGTTGTTGGTCCATTTCAACCCTTAAATATATTGCGGACATCTTTAAAAACAATAGCCCTACCCCTTCTGAGCCTAACTCTATCCTTGTGAAAATTTTTTCGTGATGATCGGACAATAATTGCAATCTGTATATAACAACCCCAACCTGTGTTGTAAGGTGAAAAAATGTTTCAAAATGTACACTTCAATATTCGTACGGGGCCGACCATGTGATACCCTACAACACTATAATATGTTAAAAGCCCCCTTATGTCCAAATCCATTTTGGAAGATTAGAAATTATGCCATAGACCAGTGCAGATTACCCTTAGCTTTTTGACCAGGGACGTTTGTCCAATATTTACATACTTCGTCATGCGGTTGGTTGTTGTGGTCCATTTTACAGCTAAATATAGTCCAATGGTCATCCAAAATGCTAGAATTCTTCCCTGTCCTTAACTCTTTTCTCAGGCGCGTCGATTGGCTTCCATTGTGTGTAATGTAGACTCATCTATATGATTTGCTTGTCTACGATATTTAGCTATATTCGTCAACGAAAACAATATAAAAAAGGCAGAAGTTCGCCTTTTGTGTATTTCGGATAACGCCTTTGAGTAATGCTGGTATTTTTTCTCACAAAAGTAGTGGTCCATTCTACTTGCTGTCCTAAACTCCTGTCCTTTCCTTTCTATTTGCGGCCTTTATAACCGCTGCAAAATCAGGAACATTTTTAGTTGTTGGTCCATTTCAACCCCTAAATATATAACGGAATCTTAAAAAACAAATGGCCTAGCCCTTGTGAGCCTAACCCTACCCTTATGAGAATTTCCGTGAGTATCGGACGATAATTGCAATCTGTATATAATAACCCCAACCTGTGTTGTGAGGTGAAAAAATTTTACAAAATATACACTACAATATTATTTAAAAAATCTAATGCGATAAAAATATAAAAAAATAAAAAATGTCACAAAATACTACAAAATCTACATTAATATCATTATTGACATCTATTATGCAATTTACTTTCATACCAAGAGGGCATTCTGAATTGACAAGATTTGTCAGAATCGGTCCAGCCATTCTTGAGATATAAGCATTCTAGCTTACATCATCTTCCTTTGTGTATACAAATTGTATATATTTCTATATATATATATATATCCGATCTATTTACTATCGACATCTTCGTAACGGTCAGAATTTACCTGTTCGTCTATTTGTGATTTCGCCAGGAATAAAAATATTCGCGTTTAATGGAAAATTTGACTATTATTAAACAGACATGTTATGGTCTATTTTACCCACTAAATATTACCCGATGGTCCATAATTGCGACCAGTAGAGCAACTG